AAAGTAGGCCAATCACATGATAAGCGAAATTGTCCGGCACTCACAAATCCGTAAGTAGTAGTTCTTTTACCTTCTTTAATCCTTTCTTATTCTTCACCTTCTATTATCCCCTTGGTGTGTGTGTATATATATATATATATATATATATATATATATAAAATCCAAGTAGAATATAATATAAAATTAACAATCTCAATGCACATGGACTAATGAGGTGGAGGAAGTTCCCAATTTCATGTATAAATGGCCAGTCAAGAAGAGCTCCTAGAATTCAATGAGGGCATCGTCGCAACTCGCAAGGGCCATCTGTGACTTTTCTGTTTCTTACAAAACCAAAATTGACAGCTACTATATACAACACATGCATTGATTAATGACAAATCCTAATGCTTCTGTTTCGCATCAGCAAAGCTTGTAAAAGATTTTATGGTACCATGAAGCGATACGGGACGTGATTAAAAGCCAAGCAAAGAAATAGATATTTGATTTTGATGGCAACCATCCCTTTTCAACCCTCTTATGTCTTTTCTTTCATAGATCACACCTCAGCAATTATTGGTCTCGGTTCAATGCCACAAGCTAGCTGTTGGGAATCTTTGGATTCGTTTGGAAAACAATACTACAATAATATAGTAGAATAATTAGTGGAAAATGATAACTCTAAGATTGAGATTAGTAATTAATACTATACTTGTTTTATTTGATTCTGAATCCATGTTCAGGACCTTATCTGGTCATTGTGAAAGATTCTAGAATATTTTGTAGGCATCGAAAATTGCCCATAGGTCTCCACGAACAGCTCAGCGTTAAAGAACGACGATGAACGTCACTATCCGATCCACAGGAGTTCGATTGATGTCGATGAACGATTGAAGCAAATCGACAAACTACGAAGGCACGGGCTAATCGGGAACCCTGCGGTGTTTACAAAAGGAACAACGCCCTCCATATCTCGTTCATCCTACAGATAATCCAACCATCAGAGCGGGTAGAACTCTTCGTCAGGCTTCCAACGCACTTGGAATCACTCAAATCCGAGTTCGGACGAAGAATTTACGGCGGAAACAATCAAACATACGCAACGGAGCGTCTCAGGCTGAACTGGGACACCCGGGGTGTCTCGGGAAAGTCGAAACACCCCAGGGGTGTCCCGACGCCCTGTACCCCCTCTTGCCTATAAATAGGAGCCTTAGGCCTCACTTTTTGGGGATCTGGATTTTTGGAGAATTGGCGAAGCCCTGCTGCAGTGAAGAGTGGTCGAGCACTTCAACACAAGGGAGTTCTTCATCAGATCCACATCACCCGCATCCGTTCCTTAGCATTACCCTTCACCGGTAATCCTAAGAAGAGCAAATATCTCGCTTTATCCGAGATAGGCGCTTCAAGTTTCTAGATCCCCTCGCGGATCGACGAAGCTCTGCCCGATTTTTTTTGGATCAGATCTGATTGCCAGGTAGTCCACGGATATCGACGTCCCCGTCACAGGCTAAAGACCCACGCAAGCAAGAGACGACGAACGGATCTTGCGTTTATTTTCGAAAAGTTGTAATTTTTATTTTTGTTATTTGCTATAAATAGGACCCCCTTACCTCATTTGGAAGGATCTGGATTTTTGGAGAGCCTCGGCGAAGCCCTGCTGCAGCAAACACTGATCGAGCACTTCAACCGAGGAGGAGAGGTCTAAATCAGCCTTCATCACCCGTTCTCATCCTTCCTTAGTATTAGCCTTTAGCGTTAATACTAAGAAGAGCTATTACCTCGCTTTAGCCGAGGTATACGCTTAGAACTTCTAGATCTCACGCGGATCGACGAAGTTCTGTCCGATATTTCTGGATTAGAAGTTTCTAGATCTCACGCGGATCGACGAAACTCTGTCCGATTTATCCGGACCGGATCTGATTGCCCCGGTGGTCCACGGATATCAACATCCCCGTCACAGGCCAAAGACCCACGCAAGCGAGACCGCACCAAAACGGGATCTCGTGTTTATTTTCGATAAAGTTGTAATCTTTGTTTTAGTTGCATTCTTGTTGTAACGTTTGAAGTTGTAACAGATTCAAAAGCAATGAAAACACCGACGGAGTTATCGTCCAGCCTATTTCAAATCCAGATCCCGTTTCCCCTGTACCCGCGCCTCCGACGGAGTCAGGAAAGAACGTGGATCTCACTAAATCCAGGGGTCCTTTGAAGGGTCGCCTCGATTCTAAAGATCGAGGTAAAGCACCCGTCAAGGATCAATTGGGACCGTTGAAAAGTCCCCAAACAACAGTCAAGACTGGGGGTCGTACTAACAAAGGGAAAGCCCCTATTACCGACCGCATTGGATTGCGAATCGAAGTTCAAGAGCCTGTTGGACTTTCACGCTCTCAAAGGCGTAAAAGTGAACGAGTGACTCTTGGAGACGCAAATAAAGCGTC